ACCGTGATGACAACTCCGGAATGATAAAAAACGAAACCGAAAATCAAATAATAATTTCGACCCGGAAGATATCGAATTGAATTGAATGAATGATGATGATGATTATTGTGTTTGTGAGTGAAGGAGGGAGGATGTCGAAAGAAAAAAAAAGATTAGTAATGATAGGATAGGATTCGGGTTACTATTTTTTTGATTTTTCTCTTGTTTCTGTTGTTACTTTCAAACGACAAAACCATTTACAAACAATCGTTTTCTAACATAACCTTTTTTTTCTCGGGATTCTTATTCTTCGGGAATATTCTTGATGATTCTTTAAAACAGATTCTGTTCTGATAATTTATCATCGAAATAAAGAAAGAGTAGAAGGAACATAGAATTTTTAGAAATTTTCAAAAATTTTTTTGTTGCTGGAACAGTTCCGTTTTTCTTGTTGTTTTTCTTCACACAATTTCCGAATGTTAAACTAGGTTTTTTTTAGTTGGTTAAATAATGATAATGATGGTAGCCTGAGATGTTGAAAGAATGTTGCTGAAAAATTTTCCATTTTTTTCTGGAATTTTCCGGTTTTTTCATTTCACTGGCAAATGATGATGATTATAATCATCATTTATTTTTTTTGGATTTTTCTGGTGAAGTTAGTGAATACAAACACATACACAGGAAACAAACATTTTTTTTCTTGGTTACATTTAATGACATGAATGTATAGTTTTCTCTCGGGTAAAATCCGTTTAGTTAACTTGTTGCAAGTGGAAAATGTTAGCAATGGTCATATTACGATCATGTCAACTATGAGGAACTGTGAACTATGACTGTTACCATTTTTGTACTGCTTATCATTTTGTATATAAATGTTGCTTTTTCAGTAAATAAATAACCATCATCATTTCAAATCCAAAAGGTTATGGGCCTTTCTGCTATGCCGCGTGTGTTTTAATTTTGTTTAAACAACGTGTTTATTTTTCGTCGTTTAACTTTTGTGATCTTCTGTTAAGTTGTTTTCTGTTTTGTTTTGTGATTAACAAATTTTGTTTGATAATGGATCAAATGAACGAAAAGTTAATTCAAATGCCGATGCTGGAAAACTCCAGTTTCAATCATTGGTGCGATGTATCAATTGACGTTTTGAAATCGTTGAAATCAACTAAATTCGTCAAGCCATCGATCAATTGTGAAACAACTGAATTACCTGATGCTGCTCGGGATGATATTGCAAAAGTGTTAATCGACTGGGATGATGTTTCCTTTGATGGTTCTGTATCCAGTTTGTTTGGAAAACTACGTGAACTAATTGGACAATTTGCTGAAAAGGGTTTGGTTCTCCCTTGTTATGTTATCAATGCCAAGGTTCGAAAGCTGTTACCGCCTGAATATGACAAATGTCGTCGTATATTGTTGGAATACAATGGTGGTCGTGATAAATCTGAATATATGACTGATAAGCAATTCGAAGCTGAAATTTTGAAGTTCGAACACGAGTTGAAAAGCAAGAATGTGCTAAACTCGGTTGATTTGGCATCTGATTCCCAGAAGAAACTGAATATCTTTCGTGGTAGATGTAACTTCTGTGGTATTCCTGGTCATTTGGCACGTGACTGTAAGAAAAGACGCAAATTGTTGAAGGACAAAACCAAATCTATTGGTGACTGTCAGTCACAACCAGTACAGTCTGAAGAAAAGACACCGGTTGTCAATACGGCTGTAATCAATTCTTTGTCAAGCCCTGGTCAAGTTGATGGTGGTGATGTTAATGTTAATGTAATCGGTGGTGGTCCATTTGGAAAAGCTGTATCAGAATCGTTTGATGAAGCGAATGAAAATATCAAAGTAGGCATGAAGCTGTATCTTGATATTGGTTGTTATACCATTCCTTCAATCCGTGGCCATCGTTATTTTCTGTTAGCTGTTGATCATCGATCCCGATATCTTATGCTGGGTTTTATGAGAAATCGTAGTGATACTTTGAATATCTTCAAACGTATTGTTAATCAGATGAAGTTGAATACAGGAACAGATGTTAATTGTGTTTGTTCAAATTTTGTTCCTGAATTCTGTTCTGATGCTTTCCAGCAGTATTTAACATCTCATGGTATTGTACATCAACGTATGACATTTGAAAAACCACGACTGTATGGAAGTTGTGAAAATGTGATGCGCACTTTGTTGGAACATTCGAAGTCAATATTATTGTCGACTGATCTTCCCCGTACATTATGGGATGAATCGATTAATTACTCAGTGTTTGTGTTTAATCGAAGCAAGAATTCAAATGATGAAATACCATATGAAATTTTCTTTGGAAAAGAAGTTGATGTATCCAATTTTCAAGTTTTTGGATCCAGGGGGGAAAAGATGGATAAAGAATGCGGTGAATTGGATCCTAAAACTAGTCTGGTTCGTATGGTCGGGTATCAAGGTCAATCGTGTTATCGTGTATATTGTCCTGTTAAACATCGTGTTGAATTGGCTTCTTCTGTAATCTTTGATGAAAAACACTTCTGTAATGTCAACAATGTTCCAGTGCAATCTAATGTGGTACAATCTGGTAGTCAACCTGATTGTAATTCAAATCAATTTGATTGTATTCAACCTGTTTGTGGTTCTAAGGATGATGTAGCTGTAACAAGTGGTCCTGATCGTCCTGTAATGACTGAAAATCAAATCTATCAATGGACTGGTGAACGTGTTGTACCGTTTTATCCCGTTAATGTGGCTTCGTTTGATATGAATCTTCTGAAATCCTTTTGTGCGGATGTTTTCCTCAATGGTAATATCAACGAAGAAGTTCATATACAACAATCACCAGGTTTTGATGATGGAATTGGCCGTGTATGTTTATTGATGAAAGGTTTGTATGGCTTTCCTCAATATCGTGCAGAAGAAGTTTCTGATGAAATTGGTGATCGATTAAGAAATCTTCTGGCTTCATGGGTCAACCCGTATATTAATTCACCACCGAATATTGGTTACTCGTATCGTCAAGTGGTTGGAGCTTTGCTCAATCTTTCTAGTGAAACCAGATCAGATGCTGTTTATACTGTATCTGTGTTGTCCCGTTTTACCTCATGTACCACTGTTGATGATTTTACGGTTAAAGGTTTAATGCGGTACCTGAACGGTACTAATGTTCTTTGTATTGTTTTTGGTGGTAGAATGTCTGATATTGCAGTTCATTTGGATGCTGATATTGCTGATGACAAGAAAAATGGTCGAACAACAACTCGTCATGTTATATTTTGTGCTGGACCTGTCGTATGGAGTTCAAATTTGCAGAAATGCATTACTGATAATGCGGCAGAAGCTGATTTCATTATTGTCACTGTCTGTTCTAAAGACATACATTTTATCGTGAATTTCTTGGATGAAATAGGTATAGATCACGATATGCCAGTTCTCAACTGCAAATTTGGTCATTTATGTTTCGTTAAAATTTAATTGTGTTTCATAGTTTACATGATCACGGGGAGTGTTAGCAATGTTCATATTACGATCATTGTCAACTATGAAAAACTGTGAACTATGACTGTTACCATTTTTGTACTGCTTATTATTTTGTATATAAATGTTGCTTTTCAGTAAATAAATAACCATCATCATTTCAAATCCAAAACTTACCTTATCGTAATTTCACGTTAATAACCCACAAATAATATATGAATAAGAATATAGCTTTAAAAAACCATTGGGTTATTAGCGCGAAATTATATGAATTCAATTGATCAATGATTAAAATATATTTATTGCAACAGTCTAATTCGGATGATACAGAAATTGGCCTATGGAAGGATGGTCGTATTCCATACTTGTTAGATGAATACTTGAGTATGTGAATTGAATTTCGCGATTAATATAATCCCAATGGTTTTTTTCATTAGTGAACCATCATAAAGGCATTATATTAGAAGCAATGAATGATTTTCACATGCATACATGTATACGTTTCATTCCATATGAATCAAAACATAAGTATTATATGTATATGAAAAAGGGAAAGAAATATTCCACTTATCCTGGAATCAATGTTGTAAATAATAAAACGGAAGTTGTTTTAGATCTCGATTATGAACACGAAACGAAACGAAATAAAACCAAAATCAAAACCCAAACCAAAATGGAACGTTTAAGAGCCATTAGACATGAATTAGCTCATGTAGTTGGTCTATTCCATGAGCATCAACGACCTGATCGTGATAATTTTATCGAAACAATACAAAAATCTTGTTCATGCACTTTATTAATTAACAACAGTGACTGGAATTGTAATCCACTCACTAAAATTTCTTACTTTAGTATGAATAAGAATATTCGAAATCCAATCGTAACAATTGTTGACACAAACATATCTGAATGGTTTAATCATGTTGTTGATCAAGAATCGATCACCTTTTACCCTGATTGCTTTATACAAAAAGATTCACAACCAATGCCAATAGTTTTTAAATATGAATTAAGTAATTATGATATACAAAAGATAAAAAAACTATACAACTGTAAATAGAAAATCAGAAATATTTATTACTTTCGAATGATCTGTATCCGTAAATGTTGTTTCGTCCATTTTTGATAAATTACACAGACATATAGTGTATATAAACTAATGAAAGAAAATTGAATGAATAAATGATGCCAATATCGGATATCAGGCTGATAATCAAGATCCTGTTGTTGTTTTTGGACCATTTTCCAGCTGATTGATTTATCAAAATCTTTATGATTTACAAATAGAAAAACTTGTAACAATAAAATCCATATTAAAACAATAAAAAATTCATTACGAATATCGATATTTGATTGAAGAAATTCCCAAAATGATCTTTCAACAAATCGTACTTGTATACCTTTGGGTTGAGATTGACAAATATCACAAACAAAACGATTATTGGCGATTATACAATTGATGAGACAAACATAATGTATGTATTTAATTGTTCCAGTACATTGACAAGGACTAATTAATTTATTATCCAATTCTTCATGATCAGAATAACATATACGACATGGAATTTTTCTTGGCGTTTCATAATTTTCATTAAATCTAATAATTGACATTATTTGTTAATATGTTTTTTATATTTATTAAATCTTTTTTAAAAATTCAGAAAATTCTACTGTAATTTTGTAATGAGAACATTTGATTCATTTATATGTTTCAAAAAAAATTGATTTGCCTTTTCTATTTCTCTCCCTTGATTATTCGTAATTAAATTAACTAACAAAGAAAAAAAATCAACGATTTTTTAAAATACGATTATCGCCATATTGAAAAAAAATTAAAGATCGATAGAATCGTTTGAAGATTGTGAACATGATTTATCAACGAAACAGCCATCTGAAATTGTTAAATATTAAATGTGTGAGTAAAATTTTCGGAATAAAAATAAATCGAAATTACCATTTGTACAGCAGGTAGCATTTAAAGCACAGATACCTTTGCCGTTTGGTCCACAAACGGCACCAGGATTTGTGCATAAAGTTGGATGATATGCTTCCAACGAACAGCGAGCTGCAGTGAAACCACCAATGTTGCATCCGGTCAATGGTGAACAACAAATATTCGGACCGTAACATCGACCAGACAAAGATGGACCACAACGTGTACACTTTATTGATTTTGATTAAAATTTTAATATGAAAAAGTAAAAATAAAATGTCTACTTACCTCTCTGATAAGATGATTCGATCCTAATGATGATGACATGATTGAACGTTTACCTGCCGGTGGACAATTAGTAATGAAACAACCTCGAACATCATTGAACAAAAAGATCCAGGCTAAACAAAATGCAAGAATGATTTTCATTGTTGAAAACGATTCTCGTTGAGACATTATAATGAAATCTAATGTGATTCTTGAATGATTCGTTTTCAAAATAAAAAACAATGCTGAAACAAATAACAAATCGAAAATATTTATTTCGGAATGAAGATCCATATTATCAAGCAAGTATTTATATAACCCTATCGATTCTGATGGCTATTGCAGCATCATTTAATTATTAATCGAATACACAGAGTTATGTGAAACAATGACCGAAATTATAGAAATAAAACATATATTCGACAAATAAAATAAGAATAATCAATCATTTTTATTGATAAGAATTAATATCAAAATCATCTGAATTTTTTCTCGGAATGATCATCAAGATAGAAATTATTGATTATATCCGATTTAAATGAATAACAAGAATCGTCGACGTGGAATCCCACAAAATAAATCCCTCTTGTCTATACGACAATTAGTTTCATATAAATAATAAAAAATTTATCAAAAATCTATCAACATCTTCGTCATCAATTATGATTTGGACACAAATAAATTCTTTAAAGATTAACTATCTATGACCTATGAATATTTGTGGCCAAATGACGTATATTTCACATGATCATGGGATAAAAATACCAGCCAAAAACAATAATAATAAAATATTCATGAATGATGTTCCAAAGTGGATTAATATAAATGAATAGTTGGAATAAATAATTTCAAATAATGAGAAAAAAGTGATTAAATCGAAAAAATATTTGAATTTGAACAATTTAAATTTAAAATATTATGGACATTGACAGCAAAAGATGGCGTTCTTTTTCCTAATATTTCAGCTGATATTAAATGATAATAATATGCTCGATAGTTGACTATTATTGTAAATGTACTCTCTGTTTGCAAATATTTTTATTTATTTAATACATATACATCCTCAATAATGGATGACAACAAACAATCAAAATAATTATTATGCATTTTTTGTTTCTCATATTTGTATGCTTCAATGAGTTTGTAATTTGATCAATAAATTGTAAACATTTTTCTCATTGTGAAATTGTAAGTCCTCGATAATGTCCTGATCAGATTTTAATGTTCATATATCAACAAACCTTATTGTCTACAACGCATCTATTTTATTTTGTTTTATTATTTCATCTTATCGATTAATGATTGCATTTTAAATACAAATAATAATCATGTCTAATAAAGAGCAGATTTGCATATGTAATGATAATGAATTTGTATCCGATTCTTGTTCGTCAGATTCTTCATCCACTTCGGAAGAATTTTATGATGCACCTGAAGTTATGGCATTGGAAATAATCAATGATAATGATATCGACAAGCAAACACAAATAAATAGTAATAATAACAACAATACAAATCCAGCATCGTCTTTGATGGCCGATAGTGGCATTTATTCCATGAATTCAAGTCATGTTGAACCATCTCAATCACCCGCAATCATGGAAACGATTGAAAACAAAATTGAATGTCTTCATTCTAATGATAAAAGTATTGAGTCGTCAACAATAGAGACAGTTACAGTACCGGCACCACTTCCTCCACCAAGATCAAGAAAGAAGAAAAATATCAGAATGAGTGTGGCTTCTGATGAATCGAACGAAATTAATACAGGCAATCATTCCTCTGCCGAAAGTCAAAGCGTAACAAATTCAATAGAAATGGCTACGCCTGGATTTCAAATCCATGCACAGAATTTATCTAGCATTCTTGATGATATTGCTAGTATAAAAGGTGATCTAAGTATAACCGAATGCGATAAACGAAGTGCGTTCCATGATGATGTTATGGCAAACAAGGCAACTGATAAAAAATTGAATAAACAAGATTTCATTTTTTCGAAGGAACAGCTTGAAGAGATTTCCCGCAATTTGATCACTAAAGAAAATTTACCAAGTAGTAGCGGAAGTATTAATGCTCAAAAAATAGAATGTCCGGTACCTGAAAATACACAATCAATCGATTCCAATCAAGTAGTGATGAATGTGAGTAATAATGACGAAGTTCAACATACACGATCAGATGATATTATGCCTAAATGTTTAAATCCATTGAGTTTACATCTGATGAAACTGACTAATACAGAAATGACCAACAATTCAATGGAAAAAGAACCTTCATCTACAAGCTTAGCTGATTCAACATTCAAAAGCGTAACATCATTGATTTCTTCCACTTTGAACGAAATGAAAATCGAGAAAAAAGGAACGCTAGACAAAAAAAATAAAAAGAAATTGTTAGATTCAATCGAAAATGATGATGGATTCGATATGAATGACGACGATGACGAATATGATGAATATGATAAAAACTATAGTGATTATAAAGATGGAAGGTTAAAATCAAAAATTCGTGATTTAAAGCGTATTGGTTCTGGTCTGATCAAAGGCGTAAAAGGTGTGAAAGCTACATCGGCAAAAAGACGTTCCACATTTCATGTTGATCCAAACGAAAGTGATATAATACCGCCTGCACCGCCACGCTATAAACTGAAAATCAATCACAAAAGAGGAAGTGGTGATTTTGAAGGATTAAAATTAATACAAGAAATCAATGATTGTAAAGGAGCCATTTGGTGTATGAAATTTAGTAATTGTAGTCAACTGTTAGCTGCTGCTGGTCAAGATCATCTACTAAGGGTTTATTGTTCACAAAAATCATGGAAATATTTTACTCAATTACGAAATAAAGCTTCTGGCCAACATGTTTCACCGAATTCAACTAGAGAACGTAGTTCGAATGGTGATTCTTTTGGACGAAGTCAAACGCAGAAATCATCATATTCACGCAATGGAAGTCTCAATACCTGTGATTCGCACAACAATTCATCTTCATCATCTAATTCATCGGCATTGGCCAAAGAGTTCTATAAGGATGAAGATAATACCTTGTCTGAAGAAGGTCCCTTGCTACTTTTCACTATATATCGAGGCCATACTGCCGATGTGTTGGATTTGGCTTGGTCTAAAAATCATTTTCTTTTGTCATCATCAATGGACAAAACTGTTCGTCTTTGGCACATCACACAGATCGAATGTTTGTGTACATTTAGGCACATTGATTTCGTGACCACTATTCAGTTTCATCCGAGAGACGATAGATATTTTCTAAGTGGTTCGCTTGATGGAAAATTGCGTCTATGGAATATACCGGATAAACGAGTAACATTATGGAATGAAGTTCCATCATTGTCCAGTCAACGGGGTAGTGGAGGAATCAATAATGTCAGTGATTCAGATATGAATCCATCACACGGTTTGATCACGGCGTCATCGTTTGTTCAGAACGGCAAATTTGCTGTCATCGGTACCTATGATGGTCGAATAATTTTCTATACAACAGATCAGTTAAAATATTTCACCCAAATACACGTGAATAGCAAAAATTCGATCGGTTCTTCAGCCAGTCAGACTGGTGCTACTAGACGATTCCGTACGAATAAAGTAGCCGGTATTGAGAGCATTGATGCTAACAACAAAATATTAGTCACCACAAATGACTCTCGTCTTCGATTATATGATCTTCGTGATCTGTCATTAACATGCAAATATAAAGGCTGCATAAATCAATCTAGCCAGATTAAGGCATCTGTGTCGCATGATCACAAATATATCATTTGTGGATCAGAAAATAATTCATTCTACATTTGGCGTACACAAGATAATTCAACTATTGGCCAACGACGGGATCGTAATAAGCAATACGAATGTATACGTTTGTTGAATATACCATTACATCAAATGGCTCCTTCTGCAGTCTTTCCGGCGGCAACGACAACCGAATTATCAACTTCAACCGGTGTTAAAAATGATCCTATCAATTCAACTTATACATTTCCTAATCATCTGGAAACGACAAAAGAAGGTGACACAATCGTTAATAAAGTAGGGAATGTTGAACCTCGAGAAAGTTTTGATTCGAATATTCCTCAACCAACACCATCCACATCTTCGACCACATCAGCGCCAATGGCGAAATCGAATGCAGCCACCAAAATTGTCACATCGGCTATATTTGCGTCGGTACCGGGTCAAATCGAAGAAAAAGCTCGTTATATAATAGCGGCAGCAGATTTTAACGGATACATTCGAATTTTCAGTAAACATTGATTTGATAATAATTTTTAATGTTTTTATTTACAACAAAATACAATTTATTTAACTTTATTTCGAAGCGGATATTTTCTACTTAAAGACGATGTTTCGGTCGAATCCTGGTGATCATGATGTCTAAGTTTTTTGTAGTGATGATGATCATTATTATTATTACCATTCTGTGACAACGGTAAGCGTTCATCGATCCCCACTCTAATTATCATCTGACAATCGGACATTTTTGATACAGGAGAAAAATGATGATTAACAATATCGCCATTTGTTTTAGGGATTTTTTCACTGGAATTTATATTTTCATTTTCGTCACTATTCATTGAAATACCAACAATCGGTTTTTGTAGCTTAGTATGCATATATTTTTTGCCATTCTCATCCGAACATTGCAAAGATGGCGTGAAATCATTCGCTTGGTTCAATATATCATTTTCCGACAAATGTTTTTGGAGAATTTGACCATCATTAAATTGTGATTTTTTAGAATCGACTGGACTACCATGATCCTCACTGATGTATGTTTCTAACCCTGTTTCTTCATTCAGATTACTACCGTTTGGTAAGATTAGCTTTCTTGATTTTGTCGAATTTAAATACACTCTTGCATATGGATTCTGTTTGGAAATCGGCGATCGTTTTAAACGTTTGATTTCTTTAAGCAAACTATTGGTTATTGAATTTTCGGGAGATTTACGCTTCTTTTTGATGACTGATGAAATTTGCAACGTTGTATCTTCTATATTTTCGGCGCTATCAGTGTTGCCCAGTTGCGTTGCAGGATTTTTTTCTGTTGAATTTTGATCCGTTGCTTTGGAAAACAATTTTTTCGAATAAATTGAATGATGTGATATTATCTTGGAAAATAGTTTTTGATGCTCCATTGATATAATTTTTTTGTCATGTGAATGAACAGAAAAATCTGGATTCTCAATAATATTTAAGGTTGTTTCAAAAATCTCACGTTGTGTATTCAACCAATTCTGTTTGATTTTCTCACGTCTACACACCATATAAGTTAATGTTCGTAATCTTTCCAGATGATAACGGAATAAAAGTATTCGATTTTTGTGATATTTTAATTGTTCTTGGAATTTTTCTTCGAAAGTCATTTTGATCAATGAATTACCATAGTTTGCTAAACGTTTCAACTTCCAATATTCATAAATTATCTGGACAATCTGATTTAATGATGTTTGATTAACAGAATAGTTTTTTACGACTGAAAAGTTTTCACTATTGTTCTCTACGATGCTACCGTTATTATAATTATAAATTTGAGAGATCTGTCGCAATATAATATTATAATTTTAAAAGAATTTTAAATAAATGAATATTTTGAACATACCTCTTGACAAATTTGGTAGACATCGATATATTTCCAAAATTCACATTGCTCCGCATTTAATTCATCTTGTTCGTCAGTTTCATTGCCATTTTCTCCAATGGATCTGGCATAAAAATCAATTTCGTTGATTTTTTCATCACTATTAAGGAAATGAAATTCATGAAAAGTGATAAAGCTAATAAGTTATGCGTATCATACTTGTTCTTTTTTTGACTGATACATGCTTTTGAATGTTTTTCGCAATATGATTTCAATCGAATACCAGATTTCTCATCAGTCAAAACAATTTTCATTTTTAGTTTGTGTTTGAATGCACAGGTTACATGATATGAGCAGCGACAATTTTTCTCCTGAGAAAGATTTCGAAAAAACAATGATTAAATTAGGTTTAATAATTTAAATAATGGATACGTACCGCACAAATGATGGGTGCACCTTTCCTAATATTACAAAGTGAACAAATTAGATTCCAGCGCCAATTTGGAATCGACTTAATTTCAATAGGTTCGAGTAAATTACAATCAAGGAATTTGGCCTCAGGTACCCAATATACACAGGACACGTGTGCCCATTTATTTTGTTTGGTCGTAGGTTTTAATGCACCACCAACGTTTGGACACAATACACAAAGAGCTTTTCTCTTATTTGTACCTAATTCTTGACAAGGTCTACAAAGCCAATCACCATCGGGAATTTTATCGATACCATAACAGGCTTGATGTACACATATATTGCAGAGATCACAGAAAACCATTTCATTTCCATCTTCACCATCTGGATTTTGACAAACATCACACACAATATGTTCATCATATTCAATGCCCACTTGACGATCTTTGATATTTAGAGCACAATGTTGCTCGAATAGGTCGATAACTTTTTCCAGGAAATTTTCCGATAAATCTAAATCGAGATCCGATTCTCGAACGGTTTGAAGCCAACATATATCTTGTAAATCAAGTTCATAGCTAGATGTATGGCGTTTATCATCAGGATTATCTGTAGCCTGTATTAAAAAATAATTAAAGCATTTCTAATAAAATCAAAAAATCTTACAGTTATCCATTCTTTAGGGAGATTGAATTCTTTACTGCTTGATGAAAGTAGATCGTCGTGAGTAACCACGGAATGAGGCAATGTGTCCGGATTTACCGGGACTTGTACTCCTTTTTCCCATTCTTCACGCCAAGAATCAAGAATGAGAAGGTAATCATCACGATTTAATAATTCATGATCGGGCAATTTCATGGCTGATATTAAATCTTTTCGTACCAATTCTGCTGGTTTCTTTCGATACTCCAGATTATAAATTCTAGATTTATTGAATGATTCGTTGAAAAAGTAAGAATCTGGAAACAAATGAATTAAGTTCGTTCTGATTGTTAAAACTCTGAATTTACCATTTTTATATCGTTTTGAACTTTTTGGTTCATTAGAAACAACAAAATCTTCTTGTGATTTCATTTTTTTCCAGTATCAATCGAACTAATTCGATTTGAACTTGTATAAAACAATGGTGAGAAATGGCGCCAAAAGTTTCAAAACTGTACATGCGTAATGATAGCCGATGGCAAATGATTGAGGGAATAAAAATGTTTTCGAATAAATTTAATTGTTTTCAAGAATCGATAATATGACCAATGAAAGAATATTCAGATGAGCAGTTTTGCTTGAGTAAAATCGTGAACGTGATTTCAACCATTGAGAATGACTGTCTTAATTTTCGTTAAGAGTCTGTATATACTGAAAAAGTTTCAAAGACAAAATGACAATATCAATAAATTGTTACAAAACTTGATACAAAACAAAAATCACTCATCAGAATCATTGATTTGTAAATAATTCAGAATGGCATGTTTTTGTTTCGTATAAAATTCTCAAGCAGATGGCATTAAAAAAAGAAAAACTTACAGAAAAATAAATAGAATGAAAATATCAAATCGTGATAACAAATTTTCAATTATCGAATATTATAACTAATTATTGTCTAAGATGAACAATTACGAATGAATTGAATAACAACTCGATTAGAAAAGGGGCGTGTATAAAAAAGACGTTAGTAAAGACAACATAGAATCAGAGCGGGAAAAGAAATATGCGCAATGTTAAAAATTAGAATGATGAAAACATCACTCATTCGTGACTATTTCGATCCAAACGTGTTACAAGATTCTACATGGATCTATTTACACCGAATTTGATATACTGAAAAAAATGAATTTTATTAAATTTTTAAATCGTCCTAATTTTCAAATAATAAATGTAGCTGCTAAAAATGGAAAATTCAATCACATTTCACACTTCCGATATATGTCATCATCATCATTGGTCAATTTCAATCAACCGATTGCTAATTCATCAATTGTACGACTAGCGATGGATGGATTGATATCATTGCATGAATGTTTGCATATACCATGGTTTTTGGAGATTTCAATTATTACAATAATGGCTAGATCTTTGGTTGCATTTCCACTTACAGTTTTACAACGGAAAATAATGATTCGATATGAAGCGTTAAGACCGGAGATTCAAATTCTTTCTAAAAATCTTCGCAATAAAGTAAAACAAGAAGCTTATTTAGTAGGACTATCGCCAAGAAAAACTCAGCAAATATATAGAAAAACGGTAATAATCTTGTGCAACCAAATTTCTTTTAATTATATTTTCCTTAAAAAATAGTTAACCCGTGAAATAAATCGTTTAATCGTACGCGATAATTGTCATCCCATGAAAGCCACGTTAGTTGCATTATTTCAAATACCTATGTGGATAATTTTATCAAATTGTTATCGTAATTTCGCTTTGTTACAACCGGATCCTAACGATGTAAACATCATGATGGCACATGAACAACTTCAACGCGAAGGTCTATTTTGGTTCAAAGATTTAACAATACCAGATTCAACAGGCATTTTGCCCATCACTACCTGTTTGATCAATTTAACCATCATACAAATTCATATAAATGAACGACGACGCAATAATCTTAAAGATTCGTTATTTATTCGCGTTTTTACTAATTGTGGACGACTAATTAGTGTTGCTCTTGTGCCTATTGGGTTGATGATGCCAACCGATATGTGTTTTTATTGGATGATTTCATCATCGATGGGCCTTTTACAAAATATTTTGTTAATGAATCCTAAGGTAAAAAAATTGTTGAAAATACATTCAAAAACAAATGAATCTGTGAATAAAAACTAGTCATGATATTATTTTAAAATCATTCAATTTGAAATTATAAAAAAATTGTTCACATATCATCAATTACATAATCAGGATGTACGACAAGAATATTATCAGGCTCAACTTTTTCTTGTTCTGCTTCCATTTCTTGTGATTCAGGAGATTTGAGCTCAATAAGAATATGATCAATAGTGATTAATTTATCAATGATCTTTTCACATATCATTCTCCTCTGAAAAAATTCAGTTTCGGTTTCAATATCACCTACAATCTGTTCCAAGTACCATTCGATGAGTTGTGACTTACGAAAACCTTCACTTTCACCGGCTTCAATTCTCGCTTCTTCTCGTTGTAGCTGGATGACCAACATGTTGGTTATTGTCTGATACATTTCATATGATATTTTCAGGCAACTTAACGATTCATTCTGAGATTGTGGCAAATTTTGAGAATCATCATTGGGATCAGATTGTGACACTTCCTCCAACAAACTTATGTCTGGTTGATCAATTTTAACGATAGACTTGCTCAATAAACGTGATGCTTCTTTTATATGTTTCACTTCGACAATATTTGAACAATAAAGGCGAGCAATGGCTTCGGACAATCGAATCAATGATTCTAATTGACGAACAGTGATTCGCCATGATTGTTTGTTATTTTTGAAAACACCACCACCTGTTTCACCACAACCATTCAATCTCAGATGCTTGTATGTTTCCACTAGATATTTTTCGGATTCCAGAGTCATTTTGGGCTTGAATTGTTTGGCAAATTTAATATACATCCGAACTTCATCCATTGAATACACCGTATCATCACTATTGGCAGGTTTTGCCCCACTAGATTGAAGATGTTGATCAATAATTCTGTCGGCAATAGCATAATCGACGGTTTCATTGCATTCATCTAACAATACGAAAAATAAATCAAAACGAGACATGATAGGCAATGAAAAAGAAAGATTTTTTCGCAAGGATTTTGTTCGATCATAAGTTCCATTGATAGGATTTGCAGCAGCTAAAATTGAAGCACGAGCATTCAATGTAGCCTTGACACCAGCTTTCGTTATCGAAATAGTTTGTTGTTCCATTGCTTCGTGAATGGCGACTTGATCACGGATGTCCATTTTGTCAAATTCATCTATACAACAAATTCCTTGATCAGCGAGCATCAAAGCTCCAGCTTCAATAACGAACCCTCCATCGTCGTCACGAACAACAGCTGCCGTAAGACCGGCAGCTGTCGATGCTTTGCCACTGGTATAAACGGCTCTGGTGGGTGCAAAATTTGTTACAATCTTCAAAAATTGGGATTTAGCTGTACTTGGATCACCAACGATACATATATTTATATCACCACGAAGATTGGTGTTTTCTTCAGTAATTTTTGGAGTACCACCAAACATTTGAAGAATGATACCTTTTTTAATGTCATCATTACCAAAAATCGAAGGAAAAACAGATTTGGCAAGGTTGCTGAACAGGTTTTTATCCCGAGACATTTCTTCTATGCGATGTAAATCAACTTCTTTGAACATCATGAAATTCTGCTCTAAATCATCCGATTCAGATCGTTGACGTTCTTCTAGTTGGATCGGCAATTCGGAACCTTCCAAAATGACAGAACAAGCCATGAATGCCAATTTATGTGTCATTTCGCGTACACCTAAAGCTTTAAGACCGCGAATACCATCACCAGTAGCACCACTATCAGATTTGATTAATCCTGCTGAACCAGCAATCATTTGAGCAATGTCAGGCACGCTGATTAAACATCCAATAAAATCGGCACGATCGCCCGGTTGAACACATTCCACACGATCACCACCACGAATAATGACATCGATACTACGAGGAATCGAACCTCTAGGTAAATCAGATTGAAGTTCTTGGATACGCAATTTCTGAAAATCAGCAAAACGACTTTTGTGCAATAGTAAACGGAATTTGCCTCGATTGTTACACATTGGATTCTGACAAATCGTGGGCAATGTATATTTAAATTGTTGCTCAACGTTTGGAATTTCGGTACCACAATCCATACACTCGAATGTTCCAGAAATCAATTCCGGGTGGACAGAATGTGTTCGAACAACTTGTCCGACAATCTTGACCAGTTGTGAACATTTAATTGCTCTTAAACTACGAAGTTTAGTTCGTTCAGCAATGCCATAGAAACCGATATAAAATTCTTTATTCATGATCAATCGCGAAGTGATTTGGTCCATTCCTTCCATTGTTTGTTGTTTTTCATCGTTGATAAATGAAACCAACGCACGACATAGGTATGGATAGAAACGATAAAAATCGGTTTTAATATCATTCGCCAGATTTTGATTATAATTGACTAAATCACGATAATCAACGAACAAAGTGTTACGTTCAGGTTTGATCAATGCCAACGTTTCATCATAATATTTTGGCGTCACATTTGTTTTCGATTCGTCAACAAATTCCAACAGAAATGATTTAAATAATTTTTGAACCTTTTCGGCTAATTCATCTTTAACTTGCGATACTTGAGCGGTACGATGCTCCGAAACATCCATTTTTAAAGTTTGAGGTTAAAAAAATTTAAATGAAGTTTTAAAGAGCTGCTTTATATTTCACACAAACACGAAGAACAAAGACAATGACAGTGTAAAGCCGATGCATACAAAATTTTGCGCCAAAAAATCTCAGCGGTGTCTGGACATAAAGGACGTACATTATTTTGGTGCTTCAATTTAAAAAACTTTATTCACAATCAAAATAATAATGATTAATGATAACAAAATCAAGAGAAAATGATTTCAGGAACATTAAAAATAAATGGATTCATAAAAATTGTATAAGGATTCATAAAATTAGATTGATTATAATTCATAGTATTAATGTTAATGTTGTTGTTGATTGAAGTTGAATCACCATTACAGTTTAAAAAATGTCGTCTATCACCATTTCCATGATAATTATGAAATTCATCAAAACTTTTTCGATAAGATTCGTGATAATTTCTTGGTGTTTGTGACGAGTGTTCTTTGGTTTTCGATGATCGCATACAATTGATTGATGATACTGATAGAGAATGGATTGATTTATTTTTAGCCCATTTAATCTCCAATTCTTGATCGATATCGTTTAAAATTGTTTGTCCTAGATCAATTTCTATTCAATAAATTCAGAAATGTCGGTGTATATTTAAAATCATGTGAACTTACTCTGAAAATAGTCATGAGCCATTTGAGCGTCTTTATGACTTTCGTAATGGATAAAGGCGAAATTTCTAATCTTTTTGACACGATTTACATTGAGTAAAGTTTGGCCATCGTGAATGAGTGAGAAAAATTCCTTGAGTTCTTTTTCTGTTACATCCAGTTTAATGAAACGTACATAAAGGACTGTATTCTAAATTGAGGAAAAATTTGATTAGCTGAAAATAAATCATCGACAAAAACGTCACTTACATTTGAAACAAAATCATCTTCAAATTCCTCTTCAGATTTGGCCCAATCAACTTTTGGTTGACGATCAAATAATAGAATGGAACCAGGAAAAAATTTTCGTCGAGCCAAAGCGGTCATTTTATGATTCTCATATTCGACAAAACCAAATCCGTTTGTTCGAGTAGGACCACCATAATAGATAGCATTAATAATCCCAGAAGTATGTTTGGCAACTTCATCAATCATTTCTTGTTTGGTTATGTTATTGGGAAGATTACCAAAGAACAAACGATTGTTGTTTCGCGAAAGCATGACACCGATTGGCCATCGTTTACGAATTTCAAAGCGATTCAGCATTTTTACAGCTCGTTGTGCATCTTCTTTATTAAAATATTGAACAAATCCGTAACCACGATTTTTTCTCGAAAAATCAATCATCAATCTCATCTTATAAATACGGCCTGGCTTTTCAAACAACGGAATCAATTCATTTTCAAAGCAATCGCTTGGAATTCTACCGATAAAAACTTCGGTACCTTTTTCCGATATTACCGATTCTTCATTCCAATCTAATGGCGGACCGAAAATACGTTGACCATTTTCTTGAGCGACACGATAGTTGAGATTTTTTGCCAGACTGATTAACCAATCTTTCGATTGATCTATGGAATTTTGTGTCATATTTTTTTAGCAATTTGCTTGTTCTAATACAGAATCTTCAGTGAGATTGCCTTACATGCAACGTATAATCAACGAATGAATAATAGTGATCAAGTTTTCAATAGTGATTTGTTTTTTGATTGTTCGAAAATTAGAACTTTAGTGTTGAAAATTTGAATTTTCATTATTGAAACTGTTATCTAATGTTAACGTTAATTAATCAGCAAGGTTATGAAATAGAACAATATTTGATCAAATATGGATGTTTTGCAGGAATCAAGAATACACTTATTAAACAAGGATGATCGATAAATTGTTTGTCTCAGATTCAGTCTGTTTTTCCATAAAAAAATGCAAGAAAACGGAAAGAGAAATCATGCGGCGAACGCAAGCGCCTTGCTTCAAAATATGGTCGAAGAAAAGTTTCTGAAATGAAAAATTTTAAGAATAAAGAAAGTTTTCAGCCACAAAGTAAAAATTTACAACAAAAAAAAGTTAACCCATTGGGGAGTAGCTTTACTTTGCTTCAAATTTTTCTGAGCCGCGCTGTTGCTTATTGAGCTTCATTTGCGTATTTTGGAATACAAAATTATTTGCAAACATGTCTCATCGGAATATTGATCACAATTTCACACCTCTGAATGAAAAAATTCATCAAACCATTGAATGTATTTTAGAACTTTCGAAACAATTGTTTGAAGAAAAAATTAAATATGACACTAAATTTGATGATAATGTCAAACAACAATTGAAAAAAATAATGGAAAACCTTATTGACAGTGAACATCGACTCAGTTTACAATATGATGTTTTAAACTCAATTAACAATCAGGTAAGTTAAACTTTGCTTTTATAATTTGTTTCATTGAAACATTGTTTTTTCAAAAGATTGATGCCGATGAAGAAATTAACGATCAGTCATCAAATATTTTTGAAAAAATTGATAAATACCGGGATATTGGAAAACTATTCGATGAACATCTTCAACAATCTCTTCAAGCCAATCTCGTTGATTATAAGAATCACAATGGCTATCGAAAATTGCTTCGTTTGGTCGAAGATGATGATCGTCATGAATCACAACAAAACACGAGCGGTGATATCGAAATGATGGAATCTGAAGAATTTTCCATACCAATTGATCCGATATGTAGAACCTTGATTAACATACCGGTTCGTAATAAACGATGTGGCCATCTTTATGATCAAGAAAATTTGTTCAATCTTTTCAGAAAAAATAGGTTTGTTATCATTGAAAAAATGATTTTATTATAATTATTGTGATTCTTATATATTTTCATTAACAGCACAATCAAATGTCCTGTTACTGGTTGTTCAAATAAAAAAGTCACCGCCAATGATGTTGAAGAAGATTCTCGACTTAAAATTTTGATTGAAAAAGCTAGAGAAAAAGAATGATTGCAATATAAATTCAAATAATTGATTGTCAAAAAAAACATCAAGGAAAAAAATCACAGTTCAAGTTTCATGAAATATTGTTTTTTTCGTCATCTATTAATAAAATTGAATTTCTTTTAAATATGCATCATATCTATTCTTCGATGATCACCATCATCATGTGACACATTTCGATGATGATGCTTGATAAGTGAATTACCATTATAATAATTTGATGATTGCTTCTGGTTGTAATGATGGTGATTATTAATAGCGGTCACAATTGGCTTTGTAAAATATTTTTCTTGTTCATTTGTATCAATATAACGTAATAATAAATTTGTATCGCTGGATTTTTTCTTGATTGTCGACTGAAAATCTCTTATTGCTTCTATTGGTTTTGATGTTGTAGGCAAGATTGGTTCGTTTCGAGCATCCAATTTAGCCTAGACAGAATATTTAAAAAAATTACAATTGTTTACGTTAGAAATCGATAGTAAAAAAACCTTGTTATAGTAGAAAACACCGAAAATCGCTAACGACATTCCAAAAATATTGGTCCATGTAACGGGATTTTTGAGCAACAAAATTGAACAAGATATGACCGCTATTCTTTTGGATGCATTACAAACTGAATAGGTCAAAGGAGTGACTAATGATAGCATTGTAAAGGCGATAACATTCTGTAGAAAATTACAAAGGCCATCCATGAATAATAGACTACCAATGGCCCAACCATCAATAGTAGAATTCTTTTCACCATAAATAATACTGGGTAAATCTTGATAAGCCCAATACGGTATGAACATAATCAGTGCATGTTTTGCTAGTATATAAAGCAAACGTAAATGATGAATGGGCGTTTCTTTCAATACCTTATTTGAAATTAGAATATAATAATTTAATTATATTTAAGATACATGATCTTCTCAACAGACCTTTTTTGAATAGATGTTTTGCAATGAAAAAATGAAAATAGAAAATAAAGCGGCAACAAGTCCGATTACGTTAAATTCTAATTCTGTAATTGATGCGATGAATACGCCTAATATGATTGGTATCAAAGAAAAATACACTTTGGTAGTTTGTTTTTCACCCAATATAACACGAGAAAGAACGACAACAAACAAGGGCATCGATGCTTTCACTGAAAAAAATAAAATTGGATTGATCGCCTATTAATAATTGAATATATTTTTCTTTAACATTACCTGTATGAGCGTATGATACGGGAACAGCCCAAAGGCTTATGTGGGAGGTAAGTGATGCAAAAAATTTACCAAAAGATAACGGTATAATCAATTTAAAATAATAAGTCCATGTAATCATCGGTTTTCTTTTGGCACCGGGAATGCAACGTAATGCTGGTATAGAATATATGGAAATTGATAAAAATTGAAACAATGTAATTGTCGTCGGATATGCGAATGATTGTAACACCAATTTTCCGATGACATTATTGGCAGCCGATGTAATATACCATAGTAGACAAAGGACCGCTATTTTCAGTCCCAAATAAGCCGTTTTGGCCATTGTTTAGGGCCAATAAATGACTATAGTTTATCATTCAGATATTAAATAATATTCCTGCAATCACATGATTAGAATTCAAAATTGAAAATTATTTTTCAAAGAAATGTTCTACGTCACTCGTAAATAATTTGACAACGTGTAAAACAGTTACCACAAAAATTGGATCAAAATAGACGCTGGATCATCTCAATGAAGGCCCTTTTGGGTGTAAATATCTTCTCAAAGCATTTTTATGTTTGCAAATAATTTTTCATAATTTTTTCATTCTCATAATATTGAATTCTAATCATGGATATAACTGCTTTGAAGCTTTTTGAACATGTACCAACATTAAATGACAACAATTGGCCAATTTGGAAATGGAAAGTAGAATTGGCATTACGACATATGGAAATGTGGCCATTAGTAAGTGATGAAGATTCATCACAATCAACTGGACAGCCAAATGATGATATTAAAATTTGTTCATTAATTGGTCTTTGGGTTGAAGATTCATTGGTACCATTGATTAGAGATTGTAAAACTTCGTATCAAATGTGGACAAAATTGAGTGAACACTTTGAAATTGGATCACTGCCAGTTACTAGTACAGAATCATCATCAATTCCAAATGAAAATTCGAAATCCAAAAGCGCTAAAAAGAAAGAGCTAAAGTGTGATTTCTGTCAGAATGATGGTCATAGTGAAAATAAATGCTGGAGAAAAAAACGAATCACTAACTCATTAAAAAAATATCATCCCATTATTTGATGTAAATTTATTTGATCAATTATTTTAACACATTTTTATTCACCAATAAATGCTCATTTTTCAAATTTTCTTTTCATTCCTTTAATTTCTGTTTGTCCCATAAAGAGTTTGGTGATGTTAATAAATAACCTAGAATAGATAGAATGATTATTATTCCAACCTATATATGAGAACCGTACCATATCATCAACATTTTATATTTAATGTCCCACCATATTTAAAGAAAAAATTATCAAATCGATTCCATTCATTTAATAACTAGACAATCACGACCAAATTATGTGAATTACGTAAAACAAAAATTACAATGAAAATCAATATTAGACACAAAAATATTTAAAGATTGTCTGAAGAATTTCCTGTTATTTTTTTAATGAATGAGAATTCTTCCTAATGGCTGATGGGCGTTTGGTTGTTGATTGGCCATTCATTTGTAAATTTTCCTTTCCTTTTTTCTTTCCGATTAGTTGCAAATGCATTTCTTTAACTAAGCTATTTTCGTTCAAAACGGCAAACAGAAAGAATGAAATTAAATTTGCAGAATGCAACATTTGCTGTCGGAATAAATGCGGTATTGATTGATTGAATAATTCATTTTTCTAAGAATTTTTTAAAATGATGATTATTTCCAAAGAATCCACCGTTTACGATGTTTTCAAGACGAACTTTAAAACTATCTCGTGGATCTGAAGCCTATTTTATCGACACGCTTAGTTCGTATTTCAATTTTTCCATTCGTTTGGTAGATTGTAAACTGTCATGGGGTAAGAAATATTCAAATGGTTCTTGGGATGGATTGATTGGTCTATTGATTGATAAAGTTTGTGTTCATTGAACAATTTAAATGAATTTCAAATGTAATAATCATTAAATTTAAAAATTATTAAAATTAGAAAGTGGACATCGGAATTGGTGGTACGTTTGTTGATTATGATAGATCCAAAGCCGTTTCGTTTCTGTATCCACAAACAACAACTTCCATTACATTTGTGACTGCAGCTCCTTATCGAATATTATCGAGCCAGCATTTGATATTTCAACCATTTCCTACATTTGTTTGGCTATCATTTCTAACTACATTGTTCATCTGTTTTGTATTTGATCACATACAACGAAAATTCAATTCAAATAAGCAAAATCTTTTCTGGATAAGTTTTGTGCAATTATTTCATCAAGATTCATTTAGAAAATTAACAGTTCCACTTAATTTATCATGTTATCTAATTTTCTGGAATTTCGGATCATTTATTCTTACTCTGGTTTATGCTGGTTGTTTATATTCATTGATTGCAGCACCATCATATTCCAAAACTATTGATACTATCTTTCAACTGTTTGTTGAACTTAAATCTGGTGACATTATTTTAACAAGCTTTAATAATTCCAAATATTTGGATTATTTCAGGGTTTGAATATTTTTGAAATGTATTTACCATATTAAATGATTTTTTTTGTCAAGGATTTGTTCGGTAATGTTACTATGGACATTGATCGTTATTGGAAGCCCGTACAATATACATTTGATGGTTTTAACCTGGTCAATGATTCATCCAATACAGGATCTTCGTATGTCTACCTCGGACAGCGAGAAACTCTTCGATATGGTCTATCAGATTTCGGTGAAAAATATTTATATTTACCCGAAGAGACTGATTCTTCTCTTTTTATGGAAATCGTTGGCATTCCTGTACGTCCCGGTTTTCCATATTACGACGTGTTTAATCGAGCGTAAGTTTGCTTATTTATTTGATTCCGATATGAATATTTTTTCCAGACAACGAAGTCTATTTTTCAATGGATTAATGCATCATTGGACAGAAAAATGCTATGATAAATTCGATTATAAAAAAATCGAAAATGAAATTGCATCCACATACGAACCGAAAGCTTTTACACTTGATCAATTGAATATATTTTTCATGGTTTATAATCAATGCATAATAATTTCGACTATTGTTTTCATTATGGAAATCATCATACGATTAACCTTTGGTCTTCACAGAATTCAATAAAAAATAAATTATTCATATTTGACTAATCAATCTTTATTGTGAAAAGTATGAGAAATTCTCCAATTTATCAATGAATGAATTTATTTTTGTTATAGGGGTTTCACACTAGCAGCAATGTGAATGAAATATTTCAAATGCAATATTTCA